AAAGTCAATCTGTTTTCCAAAAATCAGCTTTTTACGTCAAGCGCTTTAAGCAGGATCGTGATTAATCAATGACCAGATTTTTCGAAACACCCTGTATACATTTTTAAAAAATCTTAAAACATGTAAAAAACAAAATAAAATATACGTGTTTAAGCGTTTTTTCGGAAACTTGACTGTTTTTTAAATAAAAAATATTGTCATATTTGAGGGGTGGTTTCACCCTCTTGGAACTGGAATTTCGAAAAATACCTTCTTATCGAACGTTTACACCTTAGAATCAACCTGTATACCAAAATTGAGCTTCTTACGTTGAGTGGTTTGAGCAGGATCGTGATTAATCAGTATGTCAGTCACTTAAGGATTTTATATATTAGTATAGATTATAAGTGGCTATTTAAAGGATGAATTGGATATATACCCAATTCACTTTTTGTGATTTTTCTAATATTAATTTTGAGACTGAAGAATATTAAAAAGAGGAAAACGGAAAATTTTTAAATTATAATTTTTCTATACACTCTGGATCATAACTTATGTTGAAAATATAATATTTTATTTATTCCATTTTAGTTCGTATGTAAAAAATCGGATGATAATACATCTAGCAGAAAAAATAGTAACAAATATTTCATTATGATTTATTGAATGAAAAGTATAATTAAACAAAAACAAAACTATAAACTGACAACATGTCCGTCATAAGTCACTCCATTTTCTTCACTACCATCTTCAGAAACTTCATCCTGAAAATTATTGTTTTTATATCTTCTCTTGCAACACTTCAAGTACGCCATTTTGAAATGTTTATCGTATTTTCCTAACAAAAACACAATTACTACCAGTGCCATGTTTGACAAAATCCCGGTAGACATGTCAATAGTGTCGTATAAAGCATTACCGTAGGGAGGACTCCAAAAAATAGGATAAATATTAACTATATTCATTGGTAAAGACATCATAAAATAAGTCCACGGAATAATTAAAGAATATTCGTATTTTCTGGCAATATTGGAAGTCGTCTTACGTTTCCATTTGATAAATAGAAATGTTAGCATGATAAAACATAGATAAAATGAAACTAAACTGAAACTGTCTAGGAAAATATAAAACATCAATGTCCCTTCCATATCATCATTAGGAAAACATACAACAACAGCTACTACGCTTTTGAAAAGAAATATCAAAAATAATGTTAAAACTCCACGATTAAAAACCTTCAAATGATTGTCATAGAAGCATTTATAGTAGTTAAAAACGTACCAGTCGATGGCCATGAAAGTTAGGATGTAAAAGCCTAATTCCATACAACAGTTGTCTATGTTTGCAAGAATAAACATGCCCCTACTTGTCAAACCATTTGTTATCACTTGTAGGAACATGCCTATAGTTTGTGACAATAGAATGTAGCACAAGTTTGAAATGGCATAGGCAAAAAGGTACTTGTAAGATCGTGAATTTTCGAGGGTTTTGAATTTTTTGATGACAACTATCAGGTAGATGGTCATTGAAAGATCGGCTAGGTAGGCTATGACATATAGTACCTCTATATAAAATGACATGTGAAAAATGGGAACGTACTCTTCAATGTACATTGGTTCGTATGTAAAGTTTTCCAAGTCATGGTCCATTGTGACAGTAATATCTGAAAAAAGAAGATTGTAACAAAAAAAGTATTAAATTCAAAAATATACTTAGATATTCAAAATCTAGAGTAATAATAAACAACCTGTATAACAAAATAGAAAAAATAAGATTTTATACCTAGTTTTATACCTATTAAGTTTTCTATTGATTTTATTAGCTAAACATCAGTTTTTTGTATTAAAACTATCCACCCTGTAAATTATTCATTATATAAAATACTTAATGTTAATAAATAAATTAGTGGAATATCATAGAGCATCTATTTTTGAGTCAAACTGTATATTCAATCTTATTTTTAGTATATTTATTTCGAAAAACAATTTCTAACCAGTTTATTTTATTAATTACCAATGCTGGTATATTGAGAGAAAAACTACCATGTATTGATTTTATTTTTAGTTCGGTACGCTTTGAAATATTGGTACAATTTTCGCTTATTCCTGAGACGAACATTTTAATAGTTTGAAAGGGTAAGTTTCATTTTTGGAATAAGTTCCTAGTTATAAAATTGGATTGGCTCCCATTGTCGAGAATTGCCTTACATTTTATAGGCTTATGGTTTTTGTCAAGGACTTCAATAAAGGCGATGGAAAGTTGGACAAAAGTATCCTGGTTTGTATTAGAACAATATAAGTTTTGAGAGTGGTTATTTGGGTTAGGAAAATTAGTACCTTCATATGGTTGAATAGAAGAGTCTTCACTCCTAGTGTTTTTGTTAGTGTGAATAGGCGCTAGGTATAGAAATATTTTGAGTGTTAGCATGGGCGCTAGAGTGAGAAAAAATCTATTCTAAAGAAAATCCGCACTATTAATTAAAATGTTATAATTTTTAAAGCTTTAGTTGTGCAGAAAATTAAATTCAAAATTAGTGGTTTTCCGAAAATCACTTAATACAAATTTTAATATATTATGGTATTTTTTACAACACTAAAATTCATCTCAAATTCACTTACGAAAAAAATACACAGTGGATCCTTAAATAAGTCGTACTTTAGTGTGCAAATAAGTTTTAATCACACTGTATATAAAAGAAAATAATTATATACATATTTTTAAAATAAAAAGTTATGTATAGTATAGCACCCTGTAGATATACAAAAATCCCATACGCGTATTGATCTTCAGTCCATTAAATATTTTGTTTAGTAATTTTTGTCATGTCTTCAGAATTCAATTTTTTCACAGAGCAAAAATTAATCTTATAGAATACCACTAAAATATAACTAAATAATTTAAAATTATAAGTTTTACCTTCCTATTCCTTCTTAAATTATAGTCTTACCTTCTTATAAGTCACTGATAGTCCTTAAAAGGTATCTGGATATGCTTAAATGAATTTGAACTTGTGGTATTCTCACATTTTATTCTAGTTAAACTTCAAAATTCTTTTCCACAAAATCGTTACACTTTAACACTGACAGTCACTGGATGCTGTTTGGTTTATAGACAAAATACGCAATCAACTGGCTTATCTATTGATGCAGTTCACAAATTTATGTAGGCAAATCGCTCAAACTTTTCCATTTTTACGATAATATTAGCGCAAAACAAATTCAAAGAAATTAAATTAAGCATGTAACAATATTATTTATTCGGATGCTTAATCGAAAGATTGATAAGATTTTGAACTTAGGAACGATGAAAAAATGTTATAGTAAACAAGAACAATATTAATAATGTGCTAAATTGTATCTGCATAAATAAATATGTAGCAACGTATCCTGTTAGATTGTAAGAGCTTCAGACGAATGGACTAATTTTTGGCTATTTTTTGTTAAATAAAATAATTAGCAATCCCAGTACAATTTTAAGAAGAAGAAATTGGAAAAATTTAGGGAAAAACCAGAAGTTCTTTTTTCTAAGAGATTTTTATATGAATTCAAGATTATAACTGGCTACTTAAAGAATGAATATAGTTATGCCTAATTCAATTGTGATTTTCTTAATATTAATCCTGAGGCCGAAGAATATTACAAAAAATGAAACTGAAAATTTTTTAAATTATAATTTTTGTATACTTTACTGTATATACTGTATATTTCCTGAAGTACTAAAGACTGGTAAAGTATTACCAGTTTTTAAAAAAGGTGACCCATTATCTGTTGATAACTATAGACCTGTGATGATTTCCTCTAGTATATCCAAGATTTTTGAATACAATTTTTTAGATAGGTTACAGCCATTTTTGACCAAGTTTAACGTAATTCCTGAAAGTCAGCATGGATTTGTTAGAAATAAATCTACCATAACAGCATTAACATGTTTTTACGAGAAAATTGTGAAATTTGTGGAAGCAGGAGAATGTCCTATTGGAATATTTTGCGATCTAAGTAGGGCATTTGACTGTATCGATCATAAAAAAAATGATACTCTGGAGCGCGTGGCTGTGCGTTAAATTGGCTCAAGACTTTTCTGATAAATAGACGTCAGTACGTCCAGTTATCGCACTTTCAAAATGGTAATTCTAAGCAGTACAACTCTAATACTGAATATGTAAATATGGGAGTCCCACAAGGTTCAGTCTTTGGGCCTGTGATGTTTTTAATTTATGTTGCCGAAATGGATTTATTTTCATCATTGGCACATATAACTGTTTATGCGGATGATACATAGTTATACTATCCGATTCTGAGGATAGCGTTTTGGAAAAAAAAATGTATGGATTTTTTGCAAAATTTGCATTCATGGTTTAGTGACAACTCATTATTTTTTAACACTGAAAAAACAACATACCTGAGATTTCATAATCGTCAAAAAAACTGTGAAAAAATTTTAATATCACTTAGTAACGCTGTCTTACAGCAGGATTGTAGTAGTGTAAAATTTCTTGGTTTAATTCTAGACGAATGTCTTACATGGAATCTTCATTGTGAAAGCTTATTAATAAAATTAAATTCTACATTATATCTTTTTAGAAATCTCAGAGATATTATATCTAAACAACAATTAACAAATATATATTACGCATACGTCGAATCAAGATTACGCTATGGCATAATACTGTAGGGAACATCCACTAGGATTAAGGAGGTTTTTACTGTCCAAAAAAAATACTTAGGTGTGTTGCTCGTGTTTCTCCAAGGCAAACTTGTCAAGATTTACTTAGAGAATATAAGTTACTAACTTTGACGAGCATCTTTATTCAAGAGCTGTGTATATTTGTTTATAAACACCAGCATAAATATAAACTAATTTCTGAAGTCCATAATTTCAATACAAGAACTAATCATAAATTTTATCAAATACCATGCCGTACTAATGTAATGTTAAATTCACCGCAACGTTTAATTGCTTACAAACTGAATTTAAATTTAGTAAGAATATAAATGTTTTTAGAAATAAGTTGAAAAAATTTTTATTAGAAAAAGTATATTACAACATAAATGAATTTTTTATGGAAAATGTATAATAAATTGTTAAAACAAACGAAGAAAAAAGAAGGATATTGTTTGTATCAGTATTTTTTCGTTTTCACATAGATGCATAGGTAAAAGGTTTATTATTGTATTTGTTTTGACTATTCTATCACAATTTTATATTGTAATTTAGAAATAAAGTTTATTATTATTATACACTCTGGATCATAACTGATTTTGAAAATATAATATTTTATTTATTCCATTTTAGTTCTTATGTAAAAAAATCTGATGATAGTACATCTAGCAATAAAAATAATGACAAATATTTCGTTATGATTTATTGAATCTGAAGTATAATTAAACAAATACAAAACTATAAACTGACAACATGTCCGTTAAATGTCACTCCATTTGCTTCACTACCATCTTGGGAAACTTCATCCTGAAAATTATTGTTTTTATATCTTCCCTTGCAACACTTTAAGTACGCCATTTTGAAGTGTTTATCGTATTTTCCTAACAAAAATACAACTACTACCAGTCCAACATTTGACAAAATCCCGGCAGATATCTCAATAGTGTCGTATAAAGCATTACCATAGGGCCGACTCCAGAAAAATGGATACATACTTACTATATTCAATGGTAAATCCATCATGAAATAAGTCCATGGAACAATTATACAATACTCGTGTTTTCTGGCGGTATTGTAAGTCGTCTTACGTTTCCATGTGATTAATAGCAATGTAGAATAATAAAACATAGAAAAAATGAAACAAAACTGAAAGAGTCGAGGAAAATATAAATTTTCTCTTCTATATTTCCATTGGCAAGACATGCAACAACAGCTACTATGGTTTTGAAAAGAAGTATCAAAAAAAAGTGTGAAGATTCCACGATTAAAAACCTTCAAATGATTGTCATAGAAGCATTTATAGAAATTAAAAATGTACCAATCGATGGCCATGAACGTAAAAACGTAAAAATCCATTTCCATACAAAAGTAGTTTATGTTTGTAAGAAAGAAAACGCCTTTACTATACAAACCCTTTGTAATCACTTGTAGCAACATGCCGATGGATTGTGCCAATAGCATGTAGCACAAGTTTGATATGGCATAGACAAAAAGGTACTTGTAAGATCGAGAATTCTCGAGGGTTTTGAATTTTTTGATGACAACTATCAGGTAGATGTCCATTGAAATATCGGCAAGGTATGCTATGACATATAGTACCTGTACGTAAAATGGCATGTGAAAAATGGGAAGGTACTCTTCAATGTACATTGGTTCATATGTGAATTTTTCCATGTCTTGGTCCATTGCGAGAGTAATATCTGAAAAAAGAAGATTATTGTAACAAAATAGTAATAAATTCAAAAATATATTTAGATGTATGAAAATCTGGAGCAACTATAAACAACCAATATAAGAAAATAAAAAAGATAAGATTCTATATTAAATTTTCTATTGAATTTTTTAGTTAAGTAAATATAAATCTTTTGTATAAAAACCATCCACCCTGTAAATGAGTCATAATATAAAATTCTGAACGTTATGGATAAAATAGTGGAAAATATTACAGCATCTCTTTTTGAGTCACTGTATATTCCAAACTTATTTTAGTATAATAAGTTTTGAAAAAATACTTCTATCCAGTTCTTATGGTAAAATAGCACTATTAATTTAAGATTGTATAATTTTTAAAGATTTAAGTGTGCGGAAAATTAAATCCAAAAATAGTGACTTTTTAAAAATCACTTGATACTATTCTTAATATTATGATAAGTATATTTTACAACAGCAATGTCATGTCAAATTTACTTGAGGTGAAAAGCATGCAATTGTTCTTTAAATTAATCAAAACTTTAGAGTGAAAATAAGTTTAAATTTCACTGTATATTCAAGAAAATAATACATATTTTGAAAATTAAAACATATGCATAATAAACATAATAAATAATAATAATTTTAATATAAAAATACCATGTGAATGCCATAAATTTTACATGGTGAAACATCTAGACCCTTAAATGTTCGAATTAAAGAACATAAAGATTATTTAAGAAAGGGAGATTTTCACAAATCTAAGATTTGTCAGCATTCATGGGACACAGGTCACAGAATAAATTTTAATAACGCCAAAACCATAATGAAAGAAGCTATAGCCTCTAAAAGAAAAATAAAAAAGGCTTTTTTAATACAATCTAATAAAAATAAATGTATTGCTCACGCATCTGTAGATGTTACTTATGTATGACAACCGCTTCTTTGATTTTAAAAACCAACATAACATAAATAACCATAACATACGTAAAAATTAAAATAATCATACAGAAAGTTTGGGCTTTTTGGCTTTAGCTTATTAAGTAATTGTTATAGGTAATAATTGATAATTTTGAAGTTTAACTTGATATAATGTCATTTTAACAGAACGTCAACGGTTTTTGTAGACATATCTGTTTTAAAAAAGTAAAGTGTTCACGAATAGTTGAATTTAAATATTTTCAATAGCTTTTTTCTTTATTCTTTGTATTTTTTTTGCTTCTGACGACGGAAAGAGATAAACTTTCCGAAACGTTAAGCATTTTTTTTGTTTGTTAGGCAAATTTGTATATCTGTAAACCTAACAGTTGACAAGTAGTTTTTGTTTGGATTAACGCAGCAGTGTTTAAAAAAATATCTATTTTATTTTTCATATAGGATTTTTTGCATGGATAAATCCGCTACTTACATAGGTATAGACATTTTTTAAAACACATGTGTATCACTTTGTATGTATAAAAATGGCCATGTTTGATTTAGTAATTTTTGTCATGTCTACAAAATATTTTTTTAGAGAGCAAATATTAATCTTTAGAATACCATTTAAAGTTAAGTAAATAATTTAAAATAATAAGTTTAAATGACAGTCTTATACCTTCTTATAAGTCACTGATAGTCCTAAAACCACTAAAGGTATCTCGATATGTTTAAATCAATTTGAATTTGCGATATTCTCGCATTTTATTCTAGTTAAACTTCAAAATTCTTTTCCACAAAATCGCTGCACTTTAACAGTGACACTGGATGCTGCTTCCTTCATAAACAAAATACGCAATCTATCGGTATATCTATTAATCCAGTTCACAAATTTATGTAGGTAAATCACCAAAACTTTTGCATTTTTACGATAATATGAGCACAAAAC